TGGGAGAACTGACTTGAGGTTTGCGTTTGTTTTCGCAAATGTTTCAGTTTAGCAAGAGTCGCCACCGACTTTTTATTTTATCCTAAGGAAAGGTTAAAAAGCACAGGAAAAACCTTTGAGATGTTTTCTTGGGTTCGGGGAGTAGATTATAGAAAGGGAAGGTATTAGCACCCTTTCTATCCATGGTTATCCATGGGCTCTTAGTTACTTGCTTAGATCACTTGCCTTTGCTTTTCAATTGTTTGAAATGGTGCTTTGTGTGTGTGGTTTTGAAAATGTTTTGAAAAAGATGCCTTGTCTAGGCAACCCTTGTAACAATTCTTTACTCGAATGTTTTACAAAAGGTGTTTTTCTTTTTGAAAAGATGTTTCAAGGTTTTTGAAAGTTGTTTTGAAATTGTGTTGTGGAGTGTGTTTTGGAAGTAGGCAAGTGTGTTTTGCAAGTTTGATCAAGTAACTAAGAGGTGTCTACCGTAAATTTACTCAAAGATTTTTCTATGTTTTAACCCTTTTAACAGTATTGTTCCACCATTGTATTTGGTGGACAATCTTGTGTTAGGATGTTTAACGGGACGGGCGCGGGTCATCGTATAGACCATGAATGGAATGGTGCCAAGTGTCTTTGGCAATTTTGCTTGAAGGGACTATGATCATTTTGTTTAGGCAACTTCGAAAGCGTCATCGAGGGACTATGATCATTTGATTTGTTTTGTTTTGCCAAAGAAACTCAACATGCAACATGGCCCATTTTTGAAGGCAACAAGCGGGATTACCCTAGGGGTGCAAGTGTGAATTGTGTATTGATTGTCATGCATTTGTCTTGTATTAGGTTATCTAGCGGTTGATTTTGAATCTTCGCATACAAACCCGAATTACTATACAGTATATAGAAAGCGATAAATTACGGGAATTTAAAGTCTAAGCTATTACAAATAAGTATCCGGGAGTGGGGGTACAAATGTTTACAAATGGGGATGAGACTTATCAGGATAGTAGTGTCCAAATAATATTTACAACCAAATTGAATCGTATTCTCAATGTAAAATATAGCAATGTATAAGAATCAAAGAGAAATAAAAGTATTGTGCAATGTATGTGATTATTTACAAATGAGAGAAATAATGTTAACCTAATGCAATATTAAGTATTTATTTATTATTTTTGTGTTTTTGTTAATTATGTATAAACAAAAGTTTTAATGAAAAGAAAATTTTAACTTAAAAAAATCTATTGTTTGCATATTTTGTTAATGTTTTATATACAAAAGGGTTTTAAAGAGAAAAATCACTTAACTTAAATAAACCTAATTTTATGTATTTTTGTTCTTTAATGATGTAAACAAAGGTCTTAAAAAAAGAAAATTGTTTAAATTTAAGAAAATTAATGTTTATATATATTTTTTTTAAAAGGTAATAAAAAAAAAAAGAAACAATCAAGAAAATTTTGTATAAAAAATGTGTTATTTTTATTTAACAAAAAATATTAATTTAGGTTATGTATAAAAAAGGTTGATTTGTAGAAAATAAGAAAAGGTTTGAATGGGCCTTAGGGAGGCTTTTGGCCCAAAGACTAAAACACACAGATTTGCAAAAGGGGGGTAGGCGCCAGTTCTGAAATGGGCTTGGCTTTTGGTGAGGGAACAGGCCCAAACGCGCATTTGACATTTTTCTAAGGGTTTGTTTTGTTGTTACTCAGATTAGGGTTACAGTTTTACAGAGGCACCGTTTCTATCATCGTCTTCTTCGTCTCTTCTTCGCTCGAACCATGGATTCTGACCTCCTCCCTTCGCCTCAGCTACCAGACGCCATCATCCATCTTCCCTCTCTCCACGTTCGTATCCAGGCGATGTTGTAATGATTTCTCAGTTCTGTCCGTCTTATGCTTTAGGGTTTCAAGGTTTGCATGTTTTTAATCTTTGACAAATTCTGATCTTTATATTATCATTTGTTTGTATGGTGTTGGAAAAAGGGAAGAGGACAATACCTTTATTCTTGTTTCTGAGAGGAAGTGAGGTGGGACTGGAGGCGCTTTAGGCGGCCGGAGGCGGAGGGAGTATGATGCTGTGCTTGCTGGAAATCTGGTACTTTTGTATCTTTATTCCCTCGTTTAGTGATGATGCTGTAAAATCTGAAAACGCTAGCCTATAGTTCTCTCTTCTTCTTTTGATTGCTTGCTCTGAGATACTTGATTTATGTTTCAATGATGATGTTGTTTGAATCTGAGATGCTTCAGTGTTGCCTTTGACTTTTGATTTCTAACCCTATGATAGAACTTATTCTGAGGGCTTTTGTTATGCTTCTGTGTAGCCTATGATGAACCTTGGTTTTGAGGCATTGTTGGCTATTGATCTTCTTCTTCTCTTTTTTGATTTTGATTCTGAGTTGGACCTAGTTCTGAGAATGTTTATGCTATTGTTGGCCCTATGATGAGGTTGCTCTGAGGGTTTTGGGATTGAATGCTTTATTTTGAGTTGTTTTTTGGCTTGGTTGGGACAGGCTTTGAGGCTTGTACCTGGTTTTCTTCAGCAGGTTGAAACAGTTTTGAAATAAGCTTTTTGATTTGAGGGCTTTTGGAGTTTATGGTTCTGTGTTTGAAATGGGTTAGAAGGCCTCAGGTTGGGTTACAGGCTTGAAGTTTTAGGCTTGTGTTTGAGATTTATGCAGGTTTCTTTTAGGCTTGATGTTTACAGGCTTTGTTGTGATATGCTGGCTTTTGAAAACTTAAGGTTTAGGCTTCAGGCTTGTATGGCTTGATGTATTATGTAGGTTTGTGGCCATTTCTGGTTTTTTGTATTGGTACAGGCTTAAGGCTTGATGTTTGAACCAAGTTACAGGCTTGGCTTGAGGTTGCAAGCTTGCTTCTGTAATAGTTTTTCCAGCTTGGTGGTTTTGAGGCTAGCTTTTTTGTTTGTGTTATGTAACAGTTTGTGGTTTTAGGCAGGATTTTTGAAGTTACAGCTTGCGAGCTTGTGTTCTCTTTTTATGTGTATTCTGCCTCCTTTTCTTGTTCTGATAACTCTTTGTTTTATATCTTTTAAGCCTAAGCCTGCAAAACTGTAAGCCTTCCCCTTCTCTCTCTCTTTTCTCTCTCCAGTGTTGTACCCCAATTTTTGACCTAAGATCCCATTTTTTATTTTTTGCATTTTTAAAGATAAGTCAAGGTCACTAAATACGATCGGTTTTAACCTCTCACCTTCGAGATTTGACTATGTGAAGATTGTCAAGTGTTTTGAACATTTTTAGCCTATGTATCAGTAATTTCTAATCGCATACAAAGGTGTATGTTCATGTTTTCTTTTGCTTCGTGTGCAGAGACAGGTCTGAATCAAGAGCATCAGGTGTCGCGCCTCAATTAAAGTTTTGAGTCTCCCAAGCCCGAAGTACGGTTGATTGTGGATTCTCGAAGACTGATTCATCAAGGCACAACTGTTGCACCCTAAATTTCGCCCCTAATATGTTTTAGTCGCACTTTCATATCATATTTTGTTATTTGGTCACAATCATTAGTAAATATCTTCATCCATCACATTTTGCATCATTAGTCGTATTTAAGTTGACCAGAAAAAGTCAGTTTAAATCAAAGTTTGCATCGTCTTTCAGTTGTAAAATACCCGACATTTCACTTGATGCATTTTTATCTGTTTACTATTTTCTTACATCGCTCCAAGTTGTTTATATGTCGATAATAAAAATATTTTGGTTTTATAGACAGACTGTTAAAAGCGATTCGACACTATGCGGGAAAGTAGCGAGAAAATATTTCAAGTTTTCACCTTTTACCGATCATTTTATGAATCTGGGCTTCGCGTAGATTATGACGGTATGCTCGCTTTATTTTTTCGGTACAGTTCGAAGTCTCGTTTTTAACCTTAAACGTCTGTTTAGTCTGATATTTTTATTATTATTTTATTTTTGATTTTTGACTTCTTGAATATTTTTTCTTTAATCTTTGTGACATGTAGATTATTTTAATGTGTTCATTTTATTTTTTCGGATAAATTTTCGTCCGTTTTTTAAAATTTTCGGTCATTTTGGGTCTTTATTTTTTATTCATAAAATATTCAAAAAAATCATTTTAAATTGAGTTAATTTTAATACATTTAGTTTTTTTGGTTATTTTTATCATTTAAGGACTATTTGATCACAAAATATATTATTCACACAATACTCTATTCCTATTGGCTGTTGGATGAAATTGAGGATCGATACAAAATCACCAAAAACACAACTCACTTTCAATACACAGTAACCTCTCCTCTCTTCTTATATACACAACAAAAAACAAACAAAGAAAAGGGGCATTAGCAGTAAACCACGCTATGCTCCTTTCCATTCTTTTTTTCCTCACACACTAAAACAACACTTGCAGTAACACTAACCCATTTTTCTTCATCCCTTCCCACACCCATATCTCTCTCTCTCTCTCTCTCTCTCTCCTACTACCCCTTAACCCATCAATACACCTTTAGCCACTGTAACCCACCATAGCATTTCCCGTCACCTTCATCAAACTCACCGAACTGCATCATCAATACCACCCTGTTTCTCCCTTCAATTCATAACCTTCTATTTAGAACAACACCAACAATAACTCATACTTCCACTCATCAGCATCTCACTCTCTTCTTCCCACCAATCACAACACAAACAAAACACCTTCATTTCATTTCACTAACCACACTACTTTCTTATCTCACCCTTCTTCCTCTACCCACACCAACAATGGCGTCTCTACAACACACAACCTCAAACCCAAACCCAAACCCTTTCTTCTCTCTTCTATGCACCATGAAGATTTTCAACCCTTCTAAATCCTTTCTTCAAAATGTGGTCGCTCCTGTCGACACCATTTTCATCAAAAACATGACGCTGAACACCCTTGGTGCTTCCCATGTTAAATAATTCCATTTCCTCAGCAACAACTGAGAAGAACATCACACATTTACTTAATTCCCAAACCACCCCTCCTACCCCCAAAACCAAAACCTGAATTTCTTTCGAAATGGATCGTATCAATAATTTAACCAAGAAAAGAACCATTCTGTTCAACAAATACGAGATAGGTAAAACTCTAGGTCAAGGAAATTTCGCCAAAGTGTACCATGCAAAAAAATGTTAGCACGAACGAGAGCGTGGCTATAAAAGTGATTAAGAAGGAGAAGCTCAAGAAAGAGAGGCTTATGAAACAAATCAAACGCGAAGTTTTTGTTATGAGTCTCGTTCGTCATCCTCACATTGTTGAGTTGAAAGAGGTTATGGCGAACAAAGCCAAAGTGTTCATGGTCGTTGAATACGTCAAAGGCGGCGAGCTTTTCGCCAAAGTTGCCAAAGGGAATATGAAAGAGGAGATTGCGAGGAAGTATTTTCAACAACTGATTAGTGTTGTTGATTTCTGTCATAGTCGCGGTGTTACGCATCGTGATTTGAAGCCGGAGAACCTGTTGTTGGATGAGAATGAAGATCTCAAGGTTTCGGATTTTGGATTGTCGGTGTTGCCGGATCAACGAAGATCCGATGGGATGCTTGTTACGCCGTGTGGGACTCCGGCGTACGTTGCGCCGAAGGTTTTGAAGAAGATTGGATATGATGGATCGAAGGCTGATATTTGGTCTTGTGGTGTGATTCTGTATGCTTTGCTCTGTGGATATTTGCCTTTTCAAGGGGAGAATGTGATGAGGATTTATAGTAAATCTTTTAAAGCGGATTATGCTTTGCCGGAATGGATTTCGCCGGGGGCCAAGAAATTGATTAAGAATTTTCTTGTTGTTGATCCTGAAAAGAGGTTTTCGATTGTTGATATTATGAAAGATCCTTGGTTTCAAGTAGGGTTTATGAGACCTATTGCTTTTTCGATGAAGGAATCTGCTGTGGATGATAACATTGATTTTAGTGGTGATGATGAAGGGAATTGCGATGGGAGTAATGCTGAGGCTGTGGCTGGGATCGGTACCAAACATGCCAGGAGGCCGTCTTATAATGCGTTTGAGATCATTTCGTCCTTGTCGCATGGATTTGATTTGAGGAATTTGTTTGAGACTAGGAAGAGATCGCCGTCCATGTTTATATCGAAATTGTCCGCCTCCACGGTGAAGGTTCAGATTTCCTTTTGCTTCTTTTATTTTTCTTTTTCACAATTTATTGTTTATCGCGTTTGATTTTGAAAAAGTGAAAAGATGTGTTTGAAAAACTTGAAAAAACTTGGAGAAGAAGGGATTTGTGTGTGTGGTTGTGCCATCTTTCTACTGATATGTGAGTATATGTTATTTTTTTGTGTTTTTTAATCTATTAAAAATGATGTGTGTACATATCTCGCTGGTTTGAAAAGTCTTACTATATTTCTTCTTTTTTTCTTTTATCATTAAAAGAGTGCATATATGTACTGATAGAAATATGTTCTTAGAAACATAAGTCCCCACACAAATGCCCTTCTATTTTCTTGTTTTATTTTAATGTATTCTCTTGTTAATATTTGAAAAAAAAAATATATAAAAATATTAGTAAATCTTATAATTAATTTAGTTAATATTAATTTAGAATTCTTTAATTAGTTTAGATTTATTTTATAACTTTAGAATTTTATTTCATTTAGTAAATTTTAGAATTTTATTTGTTTTAGTTTAGTGTAATAACTTTAGAATTTTATTTGATTTTATTTAAGTTAACTTTAGAATTTTATTTGTTTAGTTTTAGTTTAATAACTTTAGAATTTTATTTGATTTTATTTAAGTTAACTTTAGAATTTTATTTGTTTAGTTTTAGTTTAATAACTTTAGAGTTCTTATTTGATTTAAATTTAGTTTAGTAGTTTTTTTAAAATTTTATTTGATTTAGATTTAGTTTAGTAACTTTGGAATTTTCATTTGTTTTAGATTTAATTTAGTAACCTTAGGATTTTAATTTAATCTAGATTTAACTTACTAAATTTTAAAACTTTGGTTTAGTTTAGATCAAATTCAATAATACTAGATTTTTTTTATAACCTTAGAATTTGTAATTAGTTTAGAATTATTTTAGTAAGTAATTTTTTAATTTAGTTCGAATAACTTCTTTAGATAATTAGTTATATTCCTTTTTATTTGTATATTTCTGTCATTTCAATTTCTCGGCGCCTCTTGATCATTAATTTGTTTTTTGTCAGATTTATTTTCTTGTGAACTTCTGAATGTTTATATTTTGATGTTCATTTTATTTTGCTTACTCCAAGGAAAAGATTTAAATTTGTTGACTTCACGTCATCAAATACATCTCATTCGATCGTGCGAATACCTTTTTTTCATTTTTTGTTTGTTTACTATTTTGCTAAACTCAAGATAATTTTCCCAAAAGACTCCATTTTCAAACTCACACCTTTTAAGTTAAAACTTCGACATTAGGTCGTCGTATCTTCAAAAATCTCGTCCATACCCATCTTTTAGCCAAACGAATCATTTTTAATCAAACAAACAATTTTAACCAAAAACAGATATTTCAAAAGGTTCCTGCGGAGTACCGCAGATGCATTGGGTGCTAGTACCTTCCCATTGTATAACCAACCCCCGAACTCTCGATCTCTTTTAAAAACGCATTGTATTTTCATTACTTTTAAATATTAATTTACATTGCATACTTTAGGGTTTTATTTCGCTCTTTTCCCTTTTTCCTTGGAAATAATAAAGCGCGGTGGCGACTCTTGCTTTTGTGAGTCAAGTTAATTAATAGCTTGATCTCCGATTTTCACCGCTACAGAATTGGCGACTCTGCTGGGGATAGATTGACCTCTTGCTGGTCCATCCCTAAGTGGGTTAAGCCTAATTTGTTTTATCTGTTTTATCATTATTTGATTGTTTGATTATATGTATATATTATGATTATTTGGGTGTTGATAATATTTACAAAGGACAAGTCCTATACCCGGACTAAGTTACACTTAGGAATAGGACGGGCGGTATAGTCATGTTAACTTTGAGGGAGTAATCCCGAAGAAGAAGGCATGAGATCCCCCACTCAGTGGAAGGCCCTTTTGAACGTAATATTTGTTTACCGAGTAATCGGGAAGACATTATTATTTTCGACCTGGGAGCCAGAGAAGTTGGGAACCGTAGAACCCTAACCCATCTTGGCCTTTTAGGTGTAGCGCGAAGATTATAACGGAGTAATCCGGAAGTAATTGTTACGCGATGCTACGCTCGAATGAGTTTCTCTTGAGAATATTGCTGATTATTGAGTAATCAAGACGTTGGTAATATCCGAAGGAGGAATGTAGACTCCGGGAACTCTTAGAACCTTGTTCTACAGGTGTGACTAAACCGTTAGTACATACCTTGGGGGTGTTCCTTACCTTGACTCCATGATCGTGACGTTGAACCTTTCGACTTTATTTGTGACCTTGCTTGTGGTTGTTGCATAGCCATGCATTCATGCAACCATAAAACCCTTTTCACTTGACTTTGAAGGAATTTGGAGGTCTTTCTTTGTAAACATCACAAGTTTCGTCAAGCTCAATGGATCTTGGGTGTTGATAGGGCGAAAACCCTAATCCACCAAAATGGATGATTGATCTTGATGATAACTTGATCAATGTTTGGAGCCAATTTAAAATTCATCTTCTATCTTCATACTTTGATGTTTACAACTTAATATCTTGAGTTCCTTGAAAATCAAATAAAAACTCTCTTTTGCATATCATACATCATTCTACATTTTTTGTTTCACTTTCAAAGGTCTTTTTCCGAGTCTTATTTTTTCCTTTGGTCTCACCAGTACAACACTCGCGCTAAGAGAACAATGGAGAATATCAAGCAAGAGGTTTCTGAACTCCGTAGAGAGATGACTATTTTGAAAGCTAGTATGGAGTACTTAACTGGTTTGGTTGAAATTTTGGTTGCCTCCCAAGTCAATCCTTCTAGGAGGAAGGAAGCGAGGATAAAAGTCTTCACTGAAACTCTGAAATCATGAGAAGATGATAATTAACGCACCTAGTGACTTTCCTGACAAGGTGAATGTGGGAGTGCGTCTAGAAGAAGATGACTGAAAGGGATTTTTATATAAAGATGGTGGCTCAGCTAATGGTGTGAAGAAGATTGATAATAACTTTTCCAAGAAGAGAACCAGAGGAAGAAATAATCATTGTCAGAATCATCATGTTTCTCCTATTCATCAACAGAATCAGCAAGTTCCTAATCAGAGGAAAACCCAGTTTGATCCAATTCCAATTACCTATACAGAGTTGTTCCCTATCCTGATGCAGAGGAATTTGGTTCAGACCTGACCTCCACCGAAGGTTCCTGAGAAGATACATTGGTACTACAAAGCTGATTTAACTTGTACCTTTCATCAAGGTGCTCCTGGGCATGACTTAGAGGGTTGCTTTGCTTTGAAGATTGAGGTTCAGAAGTTGGTCAGAAGTGGTATCTTGTCATTCAAGAACGTTGGTTTTGAAGTTCAAATCAAGCATGTGCCGAAGAGTAAACACGATTGATGGTCACCTTGAGTTTTGAAGGATGTTTTCGGTAATTCAAGTCCAGATGGAAAGCCTTCCCAGATTATTAACTTATTTATGCTTTTTGTAATTTTTCTTGTTTATCAAAACATTGTTTGCATGTAAGAACTTGTTTGCATCTGAACGATTATCTTAATATAATGAATATGTTTGTCTTGAAGAAATTCATTCGTTTCACTCATATTTGTTTTCAAATTTTAAATTGCTTTTGCACTATGATACCAAATTGTTGCTCATTCTCTTGCCTAGGCAGAGATTGAAGGGAGGATGATGATCTAAAGAACACAAAATCTCTGGTTGTATTACTTTTGAATAAAATCTTGCTGATGATGTACAGGCATTGTTTCAAATCCCTAAACACCGGAGATATAAGGAAGATAATCCCTTGTTAACCCCTTTTGAGCCTTGAAGTAGGAGTTTCTTTTCTATACGAAAAAACCCTCAAATTTTAACCTAGGGCAGGGTAGTTTTCAGTTAATCTGACTGAGTGTTCAAAATTCATAAGGAATATTTTTTTTGAAGAGAAACTACGAGGGCTATCCTTCATGTATAATGAATCTAGAGGATGTGGAACCACAATGTTAACCCTCATTCATCAATAAACGAGGCAATCACAATCCTCTCAACAAGCAAATGCAAGCTAATGTCACACATTTTGTTCAAAAGTCAAAAATCAAGAGAAAAAAAAAGAAAAAAAGCCTGCTAAGTCAAAAAACATGAAAACGTGTGACTTAGGCAAAATTAAGGCATCTCGCTGGACTATCAATTCAAAAGAATTAGTTCAGGCAAAAGTTAGGGAAAATAAAATTGCAAAGAAAGGACTACAAAGAAAAGTCCTCAGCAAAGAACAAATTGGTGACTACAAACACGAAGACATAAGGGTGGTTTCTACTCCGAAAGCCTCGTCGTTTCCTTAACCGTCACAAAATCCTTTTGAGAGATGAACACTCATGTTGAATTAACTGAACATAGGATTGGAGAACATCATGAAGGGGGTGGGCACCAAATATTTTGAGCCTTAAAATCTTTTTTCTAAAAACCGTGAACTAAGCCACATTACAACCTTCAAAAGTCCTAATTGAAACAAGGTTATTTTGAAAGCATACTTCAATGAGATAGTGTTCCTGACTCCCATGAATGTTCTAAATAGTTATGTTGGTATCATATGTTTTTCCTATACAAAAATAAATGGTGCTTTAACTCGCAAAATTTATGCGATATCTTTCAAAATCTTCAAGACTTACATAACTGTTGCATTAGAATTTTCATTCTCATTGTAAACTGTTTCTAACTGCAAAACATTTGTTTGATATCAAAGAAGCTCACATAAGCACCAGTGATGAGTTTATTCTTTTAAGGCCTGAAACTATGTTGAGTAATTGGCGGATCACGTCAAGAAGAAATCATATCCATGGGCATGTCACCTAAAGACCATAAACACGAACATGTTGCTTCTCCCAGTTAACGCTTTTCCCAACTTGTTTACTCGTTTGGGGAAAAAATTCGAAGACTTTGTTGTGCCGACTACAGTCAATCCGGGGCAATCACGTAAAGATTTGATGAATCTCTCTAAGAGTTTGAAGACACCAGAGCATGGTGAATGCCAGGTCTTTTGTAAAATCCTCTTAAGACGATTTCTCCTCATCAACCATATAGCTCGGGGCATGTTAGAAGTGA